TACACCACTGCTGTTCCAGTGTTAGGCCCACCAATCATCTCTGAAGTATTTCGCAATTTTTCCAGACTACCACCAGGTGAAGGTCAGAAGAATGACGCAGCGTATATGCCTGGCTAGATAATCATCGATAAAGCGTAACGTCGTGAGAGCTCGAGCCAACTGTGTTGTAATCAAGCTTGTGGGGGATTGCCCCCCCCCCCCCGTTTTTGGCACGGTCTCGCCACGTGTGCTGAGCCTGTCACAGCAGCAGGTGTGGGTGGTATGCACTGGCTGAAAGCATACGTCTATGCACGCTGCATTGTCTACTGTCTTGGTTCAAGGAGCATATCAAAGCTTTTAACACGCGCGTGCGTGGGGGTCAATTTGACCCTCCACCCCAGGCTTTTACCAAAATCATTTCCGACCAGCCTGGCGCTGCCACGCCTAGCATTGCGAGCCGTTGATCTTGTTGTACTTTATTTGATATAAGATTAATGAAAGGTACCTCAACATTTCGTCGAATGAACTCACATGGAATTCTAGTGCTTTGTGAATTTTGTGTCTCTAACTCTCTAGTTGTTTCATAATAAGAAGGTCAAATTACCCCCCTCCTCCCCGATATGTCCAAGCGCGTTGCATTGGACCGACCGACCAGGCGCGCGTTCAGAATTGTTCGCCCAGAACATATTTTTTACTTGTGCATGCTGCGAAGAATTGAACAGCGTTTCGTAAATACTTCTGTGATTATGCCCGTTAATGATCGTTCTCCTATAACCATGTCCAAAAATAAAAAAATTGTATTGCGTATAGGAACTTTTGACATTAAATTTCATAATAGGGTGCAAGATAAAACACAGCAATGCTCATCGAGCGCCATGTGTCTGATGTGTAGACACGTTGTGTCCATATACCCATGCGTATCGCGTGTAGACACGTTGTGTCCATATGCCCATGTGTCTGGCGTGCAGACATCTTATGTCCATACACCCAAACTGTATCACTTTATCGCATATGACTGTTCGGTCACGGTTACGTTGCTGGTAGAAAAATGTCTTCCAATGAACTGATGAAGATCATAGCAATGACTGTGGCCACACAGTTTCCCACATCGATGCCTGGTGTTTGACGATGATATTGTGCACTGAGACCCATGAGGCTTTCTACAAGGCGTCGGTAGAACAAGGGTTCGAAATTCGATATATGTCCAGGACAGGCGCAACGCGTTTACTGTTGGGCCAACAGTGCATTGTTCTGCTAATGTTAGGAACTTCATCCTCCCGGTAACCTATTCATAACTTGATGCTAAAATGTACCATACGATGAGATGGAAAGTTGTAAAAAAAAGATGGGTAACCCGTCCAGGGCCATAAGCAGCCCTTTTCTGGTCACAACATCTATTTCAATCGCGCCTTGCATCCGGCGTGTGGAGGTTTGTCTGCGTCAGTTCGTTCCGCTGTAGTTTTAGCGTCGGTGAAAGATCGTCCAACATCTTCGCGGTAGAAAATCGGGATCGAACACTGAATAGAGAACTTTACATTGACGTCACGTCAAAAGATCGTTAGCTGTGTTATTTTACCTTTCCATGATATACGATGTGATCTGACCAAAGTCGTCTATAAGGCGAGCAAGCACGCCCGGGCCACGTTACTTCATGGCGAAATCTCCTCATTAACACCGCAGTAGAAAATAAATTATGGGTAATTATTCTCTTAATTGGTGGCCCATGTGCGACACCATCATTATACAAGTGGACTCAACCGCGTGCAGCAACGTCAACAGAGATCGAGGCAGACCACACATACCAGACCCCATGCTGGCTGGGTCAATAATGTACTCCGCTGTTTTCAGACTGCAGTGCTCTATCACGACAGAAAATAATGGTGCGACACTACTTCGATGCTCCGCTTAGCACGTATGAGGCATCATGCTGAGGGCTGCGTCGGTCGTATGACTCGGCATCTCCGTGGCCCCATCATGCGTCCTTTCTGTTGATGAGATAGTCTAATACGGGGCTGGGATTGTTACATAATACTGCTTGAATATTATTTTGATAGCGTTTAGTACGACCTTCCCGCTTCAGGCGGCAAGTGATGCGTAACCTAACATTTTTGGGTAGCAAATACAAGATATATGTTACACAGGGTGACAGCAACGACATAAAATATACATAAATATAAGGTTTCCACCTAACTGTGGGCTCGCTTTGCGGATTTGTGGAGTTATCTTACGTACGACCTTACACATTCCCCCACGTCAACACACGCGTTAATTTCGTACATTGTAACTCGAATTCAGCTCGCGTATAAAACTACAAGTGTGGGTAAATCTGCGCTTAAACCACGAGCCTGGGCCACGGGCTTAATGGAGATTTACAGGCAGGACCGGCTTACTTGCTTTTTGTCTCACCCTAGAGGATCTAGTTGTAACTAACTCATTCACTTCTTAATATATATGGAGAAGCGCAAGTGGTAAGCCATATATTATTTATCGAATATTGAAACCCACATGCAGCCAGTGTTTAGCATTTCTGCAACCTGCAGCCTGCAAGTGTCAACAATTAAGCTCAAACGCATGGTTGTTGAGTACTCGTTCATCTCCACGATCTAAAACAGAAGTCGACTCGAATAATTTCACATGTTCGACGGCTTGAAATTTAACAAGGCCTTGTCAGAGGTCCACTGAAGTCGGGTCCTTCTGCACCATCTCCAGCAGTCGAAGCAGGTCTTTTCTGCACTGGCGCGTCTGTCTTGCTGCCAGCCTTTCTCAATTACTTTCTCCATCTTGCCAAGCGAGTTGACAGCTAAAGGCGGCTTTGATATAAAGTGCCGTGCGAGAGCACAGACATCTGGCTCATTTTACAACATAGCAAAGTAATGCAGCGCAGGATCTGACATAGGATTGCTCGCAAAATGCATTTTCCCTTCGACTCACTAGGACGCTGGCTGCTTGAAATGCATGCTGAAGAGAAACACAAATACTGGCCAGCGAATGGCATTCACGTTTCAGGTTAAAATATTTTTATCGATCATTCTTTAGCCCTCCTGCGATGATCATTACTGAAAAAATGTAGCACGCGGTCCTAAACGCACGGAAGCAAAATAGACGTTGCAGTTTCCAAGATTATTGCTGCTTGTCGCTAATGAATGAGTGCTTCTCACAACTGAATGCATGCTATGCATTTCGATGCGATCTGAACATGGCCCACCCAGAGCAGGAAATCCGGAACTGCAGGTAAGAAGCTTTGGGTGAATGTCTTTTTCATGCCTGTCAACACTTGGAAACAAAAGCACGCTTCGAGTTGAAAGCATAAGTGCACTTCATGCCATCCACAGCATTGGGGCCAATAAATTGTCCACTGGATCACGTGAGTCGTGTCGCAATAAAAACTTCAAACCTATGTCACCACAAACCATGGCCCACACAGCTCAGACAGGATGTTTTGCATTGTTAAATACCCGTAAAGCACAATCTCGGTTTCTCCCGACAGGCACACATGGAGCAATCGAACGATGGGTACTGCAAAGTCTTTCCAAGTAGGCATTGAAATAGCCTGCAAGTATACCAGAGTTTGGGATTAAGACTAGACTTGCGATGTGATATCAAACGTTGGCAGCGCTAAGCTGAGCATCTCCAATGTGGCTATGACGACCAAGTGCGAAATAGGGATTTACGTGATCAGTCGTAGAGCGTTTGAGCGCTTGTGGGAGTTATAAGAATGCGTTGTTTCTTTAGTAATTCGATGTCCATGTAGCTAGCTGATATATCTTGGGCTGTGACCACTCATATTATGAATATATTTGCGCATTACGACTCCCATAATGACTCAACCATCACTCATTAAGTCACCTATGAATGGTTTGGCATAGCTTATGCACTGCTACTGGCTGGTGAGTGCCGCATGATAAGCGGTTGGTCGAGAGGTACTAAGCGGTATGCACGCTAGAGCTGAGGGCTTGGTTGTATTTTGATGAGTACTTGGATAGTCGCTGTTTAATTGGTGTTTGAGTATTGCACATACGTAAGCATAGCGCTACTCTCTTATGTGCACAGATGTTGCCACCCGTGAACGAAGCTAAGTGACAATTATCATTATTCAGCTAGGCTAGAAGATTATATGTGCTGCATGGTCGCATAGAATCTTTCCATTATGAAATAAATAACAAAATCAGTTAACTGAGATCTTAACACACCTGTAACGATAATTATCCAGAGGAACCATGTATTTACCTGCGCTCTGTTTGAAGGAGGTCACCTGACACCAAATATGGTTCAGTCGTCCAAGGATAATTAATTCTGCTTGAAATATTCAACTTCTGTGCCCTCCAGACCAGGGTTGCTAATTTGTGTTTATCATTGGGGAGGGGAGGGGGGGGGTGGAGGATACATGACATAACTGCTCGAGACGGCCCGTTGCTCGCGCACATGCTGCTTTAGCCAAAGAATTTTCGAGCACATGGTCTTGGAGGCATCACCGGGTCATGGGATGGATTTTCTGGTATCCTGATCAGACTCACTTCAGACATTTTCAGCCGTATAAGCGCATGGTTTTCGTTACTCCGGTCTGGCATTTAGAGCAGCTGTCAAAACTGTGAGACATTGCTGACCGTTAAACATATCACAGACGAATGCTCTCGTTCTTCTGAGAGCTTTTGCTGCGCCTCGCCCTAAGAGGATTGGCCTCCGCCCGCCCGGACGCAGAACCCTTTGACTTTTCCGAGGAGGGGTGACATAAGCTCCCTCTCTGCAGCGAGCTCCTTTAAAATCTCATCTCCTGACCATTATCCCCGCTGCCGGCTTATGTTCTGCGACGATGGGAGTGAGGCGGCCACTCGGCGCTCCGCCGACGCCGAGCCCCGCATCGAAGGCAACTTGTTGATCCGCCAGCTTGCAACGCCACCCGCTAGGGGCGCTGGCGACGGCTCGCCGTTGTACCAGATCGGCCGCCGAGCTAGACGTCCAGTTGCCGCGCGCGAGCGCCGATGAGTGGTGCTGGTGGGGGGCGGCGGTGTGGGAGTGCAGATACAGTCACGATGCCGAAGGATGCGTGTGGATAGATGCGCTTGGAGTTCGTATCAGCTGATTGGGTGCTGACAGGCGGTGCACGAGCGGATGTCAGCGACCTGAACGATCACAGCGCGCTGGTGAACTGGTGACGCCGCCAGGGTGGTGCTTCTGCAGTGCGTGCAGTGCATGACAAAATCGTCGGGTGGGATGCGAACTGGATACCTTCCGGTGGAGGTAACTCAGGTGGCGTGAGCACAGTCTGGCCGAAATATTATCTCGTGTTCCGACTGGATTGCAATAGGTCCAGTGAACTGCTATCGAGGATCTGCTGTTAAAAGGGCCTAGCACGAGTGTCCTAAGAAAATCCGGAAGTCTATATGAAGAAGATCTTCAGACAACCGGCGATCTAGGAATCTTTAGGTGAGCATGCATGGCCTGGAAAGTCAGTGGTGCCAAACTATACGTCTGAATAAGTTACAATCATTAAATAACACCGTAAGCTATATTATGCTCAAATGACCGATGACATTTGCAACTGCCACACGATAAACTTCTGTGAGAATCAAAAGCCAATTGTTTAAAACAACGTAGGATGAAAGGAATTCAACGCAGGACGACCAAATTTTTGCCCTTCGGGAGCTCGAACGGTAACTGTGAACGTAGCTCAGGTGATGGCCAAAACGTCAGTTATGACCTTGCCTCGCAACATTGTGCACGTCCTTCCAAGAGCAGCTTTGGTTGGAGTCTCACCACCTGCAGATACCTGCAAATCAACACGTTCACGCACACATCTTCGTAAAGTTTTACGTACGACGTGCCTCAATAATCGAACCAAGTTGTTTGGACACCGCTACGCATCGGGATGCAACATGCTTGAATACTCGGAGCAGATTGCTTTAGCACATCGCTGCGTATCGGGAAACAGTACGCTTGAACGCTCCAATCGAATTGTTTGGTTTGAGCACACCGCCGCGCATCGTGCTACAATATCCTTGAATACTCGAATCAAGTTGTTTAAACGCGCCGCTGCGCATCGGGTTAGGATTCAGGCCTGGTAATGCAAGCGTGCAGAGTGAGGTAGCGCTGGGGGTAGAGCGAAGACATGGTGTGGCCTTGCGTTGTTATGGGTGACGTGCGGGTGTGGTGCGCGACATGCGCGTCTCTGGCGGTTTGAGAGCCTCGCTCTGGGTACACCCCGGCTCCTACACTATTTCACCTACTCCTGCCGGGAAGCCCGCATCCTCAGCCGAGCATTTTCATTCTCTGCAACCTTGAACACGCGACGCACGTATCAGCAATGCTTCTCTGAAAAGCGATGGGATTCTATGTCATTCGTGGGTGCTCGGATGGGTGCTGTTCCCAAGTGTCTGACGGCTGGGACGCAACGTTCCAAACAGTGGCAACGCTCCCTCGAAAGCCAGCTGTTGTGTATCTCAGTACATTTCCTGAATGACTCCACGACAAGCCACGGCTAGGCGTGTTCTAACACCCATGTATAACATTTTGATCCACATCATATTTCCTTGAGAGCCATGGTTGTTAGGCATATGCGGCAGCGTGATCTGACGACTTGACCTATCTTCAGGGAGGTACTTATGTCGCGGTCGCGGGTTTTAATCCACGCGCCCAGGGAGACTGTTTATTGTTGCAACTGAGCCCGCGGGAGGAGTCTGACAATCATTACGGCGGTGGTAACGGGTCTCATCAGGTGGTGGTCATGCACCTCCGTGTATACGAGATGCAAAAAGCATGCAGATTCGTAGAATGAGAAGCAGGGCTGGAACTTCAGCGACTCATGGTTCAGGAACTCATCAACTAATCCGTAAGCCGGAGCAATACATCCACAACGACCTTAACGGAATTACCCCTGTTTGAAGAGCTCCAGCTGAATGGAATTATTCAACCAAGACTGTCGGCTGGTTGGCGGGCGGTTCCTAAGAAGCGTCTCCGCTGCGGGCTCCTCGTCGCAGACGTCAGCGGCTTGAAGATTCGAGTACGATGTTTGGCACAGCTCGGATAAGTCTGCGGGGACGGTGGCTTGATCTCGCCGGGGTTCGGCCGCGGCTGTCATGCCGGGGTTCCGGCGTCGACCGCCAGCCGTGCGGCGGCGCCGGCCGGCCGCGCCCCGGCGTCGGCCGGCCGCCGCGGCGCCGTCCGGCCGTACCCCGGCGCCGCCGCCGGCCGTGTCCCGGCGCCGCCGCCGGCCGCGCTCCGGCGCCGGCCGGCCGTGCCGCGGCTCAAAGTTTGCCGCCGCCGCGCCGCGCTCCGTCGCGGCCAGCCGGCCGACAGCTCGTGTTTTGACTCGTCAGACCGGCGCAGAGATATTCGCAGCCGTTCCCAGAATCACCGGGTTATTCGACCAGATCAGAAAACGCGGGCTGCCGAAGCCCAAAACAAGAACTCGACCGCGTCGGAGAGACCTGTTTTCGGTGACAACGTAGTCGTTGAAATGGTGAAAGATACCTCCCTGTTTAAACAATATGTGACAATATTTTTGCAGAGGCGATTAGATCACAAAGCCTTGCTTAGGTCGTCCCGGCTTTGCCGTGCTCCCTCGTCGTTTACTATTCGTTCGATGCATCGTTCCCTTCGTCTCGCAACTGCTATTCTTCCCGCGTCTTTCAATGGTGACAATTATACTTTTGCTGTCCCTGGTGTGAGAACTCGTATACATCGGACAATTAAGAGTATTCTGAGGGACTGTGCAGTGTACATGGTGTACCAAAGGCAGTGGTGAAGATAATACATGGTGAATATTCATTTAGATCATACTACATTGCTGAACCAAGCCCTCACTGGCAGTATTATTGTATGCTTATAATTAGGTTTTTGAAAGCAAGTAAAAAAAACTGATAACTTTCTGAAATATACATCGCTTCTTTCACTTCGAGGTGGCGAAGCATGTGGTTTGTTCTTGACTAGTCTCATTAAGGTTTTAACGTGGCCGAGTCAAGGCCGAATCCTACTACTATTTGCAACAAATAAATACTACCTTAAAAGTTTTCAACTAGATCGAACAGATTCTAAGTGATTTGAGTGCCACCTACCGATATATTCTGTAGTCGAGCAAACGGTCGTCCTCATTCCGCTTATTGTCTCACTGATTCTCGTTGATTCTTGTTGATTTCATACGGCTCCTCGCACTGCTTTTTCCTGCACAGTTTCCTCCACTCCTCCATTTTACTGCACAGTTTCTCAGTTTTCTCTACTTGTCCTCGCATTCAACCGTCTGTTGTTGCCCCCTGCTGGTCCTCGTGCTATTCCCTTCTCGCTTTCCTTCCAGTGCCGCAGGCAGGGAGGAATGGGGGAGGGAGACCCACCAGGCCGCCGGTCCGAAAAAATGTGAGGGGTTTCATAAGTGTCAATAAAATAGCGGTCAAAATGAGGTATCAAAGAGAGATGAAGGTAAAAGAAAAAGCAAAATAAATGAGATCAAAAGGAAAAAGACAAATTATGTTTCCTGAGGAACGTTCACCACTTGCATAATCGAGTAGTGACACAAATTATACAAAATGATGTTTAAGCCTGCGCGTGTTTGCAACTTTACGAGCAAAAACAGCTATGGCTGTGGTTGCAGTTCCCGTAAAACTGAACCGCGTTAGCCCCTGCAGATAATACTAGGCGTCGGGAGTTGAGCGCGCAAAAACAACCGCCGTAGAATCATGCTTATGATGGTCTTTTAAGTCGTACAAAGGTCTTTTTAAATCAATTATTACCGTACAAAGATGTGGCGGGGGCGTTTATTTTACCTTTGTGATTCTGAGGTTATCCTCTGTGCAGATTTACAGTTGCAGCAGCAACACAACAAATCGAGATTCTGCGTGTACTCTTCCAGTTCCACGACCACATTCCAGCACCAGATCACGAGTGCTGTGAATGCTTATCCGTTTCTGTGAGCAATCTGTATGTGGACGAACCTGTCGCACAGGTGAAATGTGCACCCGAGATGTCTACTAAACGTACGAGTTGATGCCCTAAAGCGCCGACGCCGCGCCGCCCATGGAGACTGCAACGCCGGTCACCGGGCTGTTTGTTTCGAAGACATTCAACAGCACAGTTTTCAAAGCATGTCACATAATTTTTCTCGTTATTTGACTTTGACTGAAGGTTGAACATTCCTACATGGACGAATGCTGGCCGTGTTAAGCGGGGTGTCGCACCATTGGGGCATATTTGAAAAGCTCACTGGTAAAACCACGGGAGCATTTACGTAGAATAGTAGCACTGGGTAGTGCCAATCCAGCGCCATCAAGATAGGACGAGAAGATTAGCTTTAACTATGCTCGAGTCCAAAGAACGTGGTCAACGTTCTCGTTTTGCAGCACTAAACGTCCTTCTTGGAACCCCCCGCATGGTAGCCCGAGTCTGCGACAACGCTAGTTGTCGAGGTTACCTTCGGCATGGCGTCGTTTGAGATGTTTTAACCCGCACATTGTTGGCCTGTGGTTCAAAAGTGGTATCTCTGCCGATGTGGATGACGTCAGTACAAATGAACATTTGTGAATTGCACAGGCGGCGATAGGCCAGTTACCCAGAAATGCGCTGGTTGAAGCTTGAACCAATGCGTCACTGAAGATCATGTGATGCTTTGTCTTCCAAAGTCAAAGTGCGCTTCGAAAAGAGCCACTGCGTTAACGCCGTAGGGGAAAAATCAAAGCCATAGTATAAGGCTGCGTTGAATTCGCGGAAGAATAGTATAATGTTTGCATATATTACGTACCAAATAGAGGGATTTCAAGCTTTCGTAGCATTTAATGCAAAACAATCTTGACCAATTAGTGTATTCCCGACATCACAGAACGCATGCTGGACAAGCGATGCAAATTAGATGTATTGCTTTTATGGTGGTGATCAGGGAATCCAGAAATATTTCTGTCACAAGGATCGGCCTTTTGAAATACAAATTCTGAGCTTTTCAGGAAGGCTGCCGAGACAACTGCATTATAAACTAAACGGGAAAGGTCTGATATAACTATAAATGAACTGTCACAAAAACGGTTGCATTTTACCTGTAATACAAAATATTTGCCCAGCTTCAGGATACGCTCTACGTTCACAGGGTTCTCAATATCTCTGGGAGCCCACCAATATTTTGGCAAGGGCTCTCCGTACTATGGGCTTAGGAAAGGGTCCACTGGACCATTATAAAATAGAAATCGCCGGTGATGTATTCCATGGAGTCATTTAACCCTCGCGTCCTCCAGGTTATTGACTTCAAAATGGAAACATAGTTGCATATTCCGTTAGCTTCTGGCTTCTGGTCCAGTTAAGATAAGTGGTCGAAGTGAAGTAAAACGAAGCAAATTGTGCCCCCGCGAAATAAATTTGTTCACTAACTGGTGAATTATTATTTTTGGGAAGGAGTGTTTCACCATGACCTTTGTCAAATCTGTGCGCTCTGTCCTTACAATGACTCTGGC